AATCCGATGATTGAGAAATTTAAACAAAATCAGGGACATTACTGTTGGGATTTGGGCAATATTACAGTGCAGTAGAACTAGAAGAGGATACAGCAAACCTTTAATGTATTTCATTTCCTGGCCAATGGTCAAACTGGAATTACTTATGTAACACAGTTAAACATGCAAACCAAAAATATGGGCTAGTGACAAAAGGTATGGTATATGGATCTGTTATTGTCTTTATTCTTTTCATACATTAGCAGAGTATCTAGTTAAATTCCACTGATTAGTAGATACTTTGTATCATTTATGGTAATTGCTCCTTTCCATCAATTAACTTTTCTAGCTTATTTCATGTTTTGCAAATTAACCAAAATCACTGACATTAGGAGACATAGTTACATGGTTTGTGGTACGTAGCAGGTTGTCGGACGAATTCGGGTATGCAATTCGAGACTTTGAAATTTTAGATTCGATGAGGGGTAGCTTTCTTCGATACACAAGTTCAAGATAGGATACGTTGTAATTTTTTTGGGTACGCTTATCATTTTTCAAAGTGTAAGTGTATAGTAGAAAATTAGAACCTAAAAATCTAATTATGCATTTCAATATTTTTTCATACAAAATACTTCAATACTTTATTTTTATAGTTTCTGAATACATAAAACTTAAAATATTAAATATTAGACATCCTCTTAATAAATTTTTTCTATGTTGCAACTTTCTTCCCCTTAATGTCAAGTGCATCTTCTGCTAATTCCAAGTCCAAACAATTCCATCTAAGCACCTCCAATTTACTTGAAGAGTCCTCCAGTAATCATTATTGGGATCCACATCCCATCCTTTATATGAACCAACTTTGTAATTCTCACAAAATCGTGACAGGAAGTGAATGTTGGAATTGGTGAATTTTAACTTATCCGTCATTCCATTGTTCAATCTATTTCTTTTCACACTATGTATGTAGGAATAAGTACTCCTTCAATAATATTATTGAAACATATAAAAAAATCCTAGCGCATGTGCATGACAACAGACTTGTAGATCAACTTCGGTCCCTTCATACTTAGTAAGCCGTACGCTAATTTTGGGGATCCAATTCGTGTATCGGAGGGAATCGGTTCGTAAATGTACCAGGAATCAGTTCACATGAACTGTTCGACAGTTTGAGGGGTAAGGGGTCCAAGGAATCGCGCAACTATATCAGGAGAGAATCTTCAACATTATTGTGGTCAATTTATTTTATAGGCTCCTTGAAACTAACTTTGAACTACAGTTATTTATATGATTATTTTCTCTTAACCTCCCCTGAACTTTGGAGGGTTTTCCATATTACCCTCCTTTACGTTGTTTATTGCACTCATTGTCCCGAATTTTGTGTTGTCCCACATAACTGCTCTGAGACTTTTCCCAATAGACTCCAATGCCATTTCCCACTAATGGATATTGACCAAAATATCCTATTGGTTTAATCAGAGAGATCTTACTCAGATAAATACAGTTATGCACTATTATAAATAGCGGTAAATAGCCCCGCAATAGCGACGCTAATAGCGTTAGCGGTCCCTTCCCGTGACGCTATCGCCCGCTACGCTATCGTGCAATAGCGGTGACATATTGCGGAATATGTCTGTTCACAAAAGCGACCAATAGTGTGTCATAACGGTAAATAGTGAGCGATTGCATTCGAAATTTGTTTATTGACTGTTATTTAAAAACGGTTTGAGGATTATTTTTTTAAAATTAAACTCAACCCTTGACCATTGCCTTCCACCGTTTCCTATGATTTTCAGCATACTCCCGCCACCTCTCATAGCCTCTGGCACCTACCTTGATACTTTCTCTCACCTCCTTCACCGTAAGCTCCTCTTAGGGCAGT